GAGGTTTCTGGGGGTCCCTTTGCCTCTGCCACAGCCCTGGGGCAGAGGAGACTTTTCTCCAGCTCGCCATTTGACCCGAAGCTCCTCCAAGGCTTTCTTTGCTGAAAAGGGGTGATCCGGACAGGGAAGGTGTTGGGGCTGAACCCCCAAAGGCTCCCATATGGAGAGGAGATAGCAGAGCCCTCCGAGGCGCTTGCTGCGAAAGCAGCTCTCAAACACTTTGTAGAGAAACGACAGGGACAAGAGATGCCGGGGAACAACAGATGGTCTTGGAAATGAAGAGAAAAGAGGGGGCTATTTAACACCCCCCCCCACTCCTTCTCCTTCTCCCTTCACTGGTTTTGGCGAAGCTTCTGGTGATACTGAGCCTCATAAATCCATCAGGTCCTCTCCCAGCTGCAACTGCAACAAAAGGGTAATTTACGATGACATAAAAGTTCTACAAATTTCCTGCAATAAACTGCACGGTCCTTCTGTAAAGCTGCCATTATATCCTGGAGGATTGGGGAGAATGGAAGGGCCGGAGTGACCACAGCCAAATGCCAAGGCTGCTTGCCAGTTGCCAGGTTTTGTTGGCCACGATCCCTGTCCAAGGTACTGAAACCCCTTTTGCCAACCCCGGATCAGAAGTTCTTCTCTGGAACATCTCGTCGATCAATGCTCAATCAATATTTTGCAGTGTGTCCGTCTCTCCCCATTTTGCTGAGCTCCAGATTTTCAGGCCTAAGCCTGATTTGTACTCCTAAAAATCTCACAGCAATATTTTTTCCTGCTTTCTGATGGATAGCCGGGGGAACTGATACGGTCTGTTGATGCAGAACATTTCCAGTACGGTAGCTAGTAAGTTGTAACTCAAGAGCCTGACAGGGCAGGTCTCCCGCCTAAGGTCATTTTCTGCATTGGGCCTCTCATAGAATCTTAGGTCTGAAAGGGACCTTGGAGGTCTTCTAGTCCAACCCCGTGCTCAAGGCAGGTCAACTGGCCCTCCTTCCCTAACATCTGGAAGAAAGAGCAGAATGCCTCTCCCCCTGCAGAATCCCTTGAGGTCTCCTGAATTTCAGTTCCCACAATTAATCCACCTGCCAATAAACCTCATTATTCATAATTCCCTATTCTGGACAGCCGACTGCAAAGCTCCGTTCTGGGTGGTGACCAGCAGAGAAGCTGCCTCGTCTCTCGTCATCCCTTTCCACTCTTATGGCAACGTCAGGATCCATGACTGGCTAAGTCAAGAGAAGGTTCAGGGAACGGCTCAGCGAAGGCCAGTCTCGGCTGCCCTCTCTCGGCAGGAGACTCCACCGCCCCGCCCCCCCCCCCGCAGCAGCACTTTTGCTCTGCTCAATCCGCAGATGCAGAGGAAAACTTTGCCAACCAGCAATTGTGGGAATCCCTGAGTTTTAGCTATTTAAATATACCGTAATTAGTATTGTAAGGTTTTCCACTTAGCCTCACAATTGCCCCAGCGTTACTCAGGAATTTAAAAGAGACAAAGAAACTCCTGAGCCAAGGTTTCAACAAAGATTACAACTTTATTTTGATCAAAACAGAGAGGGGCTGCCCTATTCCTCTTCGTGGCTGGTAGAGGAATGAAGGCAACAACCAGAAAAGATGTCTTCCGCCTTTTATACCTTTCCAGAACAAAAAGATCAGGTCTTGGTACCATCTTAGATGATGACTCATACACAGCAACCCAGGCTCCATCTGTAACTCCTTTCCCCCCTCCCCTTACCGTGCTCTTTTCATATAAGCAATCACCTCTACCTACAAAGCATGAAGCCCTTACTTTTCCAATATATATATATAAAGCATCTGATCAAGCAATTAGCTACAAAATAATGATTACAAAATAACAAAACAATGATGACATGATAACACTATAAGTATCAATATAAAATGGTTACTATATATAAAATAAATGCTAATGTCAAACTTAAACATACTAAAATCATAAGCACAATAAAATCCCTTCACTATCATCCAGCCCTTTGCAACTCCTAGCAGCTACATAGATTTTTCTTTCTATATATATTTATTTAGAAAGAAATGCACGTGAAATATAGAACAGGTACATTCACTATGATACATGGATGTCACAAATCATATTATAACACACATAGGGGGCTGGACTAGAAGACCTGTCAGATCCCTTCCAGCTCTATTCTATTCTATTCTATTCTATTCTATTCTATTCTATTCTATTCTATTTTCTATTCTATTCTATTCTATTCTTCCATTCCTAATTCTATTCTATTCTATTCTTCCATTCCTAATTCTATTCTATTCTATTCTATTCTATTCTTGTTTCTGTTTCTACTCTACTCTATTCTAAATTATTGCAATGGTTTCATTTAATAATCAATCCTGCCAAGGGCTCTCCTTAAAAATAAATTTTAAAAAAGGCCACAAAAACCGAATCTCTAATAAAGAAGCGCGTCTTCTTGCAATTCCAATATTGGGCATTGTAAAGTCCGGGAAAATGACGTCATAATGTTTTCAGGTTTCCGGATCTGACGAAACGCTTCGCTTCTTTGCCCAAAACAAACATGGCCGCGCCGGCTTTCTGCACCGGAAGTTTTCCTATTCGGAGTGAGCGGCGCTAGGCAGATAAGGCAGCCAAAGGGGGGAAGGGGGTCTTTCGGGTCCTCCCGCGCCCCTTCTTTGTTTCCCCACCCCGAGACAAGAGCAATTTGCGCCGCCAAAGCGAGGCTCACCCTCGGCTTCCCTCGCGCCCGTCTCCTTGACAACGCATTGGCCGTCTTATTTTTTTTAATCCGAGCGTCCCGCCTCCCTCCCCTCCCTTCCCCATTGGCCCAAAGACGACTTTTCCGATGGACAAGGAAATAAGCCAATCGCGTTCCTCCACGAAGACAAGCCTCTCGGGCCTTGCGTCTTCGCCTCCTCCCTCTCCCTCCCCGAAAAGAGGCGGGACCCAAAGGGAGATCGATAAGCGAGAGCAGCCAATGGAAGAAGAAGAGGGGGCCGTCGGTGGAGGCGGGGCTAAGGAAGCGAGCCCTACAGCGACCAATCGGAGGACGAGGAAAGAAGGAAGGGCGGGTTGAGGGGCGGAGCCGGAAGGGAAACTACTGTAGATGATGGAAGAGTGGAGCACAGAGCGAGCCGGGTAAGGGGAGGGGGGGCAGTAGTGGGGAGAGAAAGAAGGGGGTCTTATAGGGGAGGGGGAGATAGTTGGGAGGAC